CTGTTTTCAGGTATCAAAATTCTTCAGTTAAAATTATATAAAGAAATCCTTCAACACAATAACAAAAACGTAAATAACCCAATTAAAAATGGCCAAATGATTTGAATGGATATTTCTTCAAAGAAAATACACAAATGGACAAGTACATGAAAAAATGCTTGCTCTCATTAGTCATCAGGGAAATACATATCAAAACCACTTCACACTTTTATGATGGCTATAATAAAAAATTATGCAGGGGCTTGGATTGTGGCTCAGCGGTAGAGCGCTCGCCTAGCATGGGTGGGACCCCGGGTTTGATCCTCAGCACCACATCAAAATAAAGGCATTGTGCTGTGTCCATCTACACTTAAAAAATAATTTTTTTTAAAAAAAGATATGCAATAACAAGCATTGTCAAGGATGAAGATAAATTGGAACCCTAATATTGGAGATGTAAAATGGTACAGCCACTTTATTTTTTTTTATTTTTTATTTTTTTAAAGAGAGAGAGTGGGGGGGGGGGAGAGGGAGGGAGGGAAGGAGGGAGGGAGAGGGGGAGAGAGAATTTTATATTTATTTTTTAGTTTTCGGCGGACACAACATCTTTGTTTGTATGTGGTGCTGAGGATCGAACCCGGGCCGCACGCATGCCAGACGAGCACGCTACCGCTTGAGCCATATCCCCAGCCCGATACAGCTACTTTACAAAACAGTCTAGCAGGTCCTTAAAAAGTTAAAGGGTTACCATTTTACCTCGTAATATACTTTAGGTATATACCTATGAGAAATAAAAACTCACACAAAATTTTTACACAAATGTTTACAACAGCATTATCCATAACAAATAAAGGACAGAAATAACCTACATGTCAATAAATGGATGAATGGATGAAAAAAATGTGGTATACTTGAACAACAGAATGTTACTTGTCAATAAAAAAGAATGGAATATTAATATGTGATATGACTCAGATAAGCCTTTTTTGAAAGCATGCTAAGTGAAAAAAGCCAGTTAAAAAAGACTACATTCTATTTATATGAAATGTCCCAAACAGGGAAATCTACAAAGGAGGGAACAAAAATAGTGGTTGCCCAGGACTAGGGGAATGAAAGGGGTAAAGGCAGATTTCTTTTGGATGTGATAAAAATGTTCTAAAATTGTGGTAATGGTTGACACTCCATGAATACACTAAAAACTACTGAATTTATACTAAATGATTGTACTATATGGTGAGTGAATTATATCTCCATATAGCTGTTAAAATATTCTTCTGACCAAATGTATAAAAGTACCATTTTCCACACTTGTACATTGCTGGTGGGACTGCAAATTGGTGCGGCCAATTTGGAAAGCAGTATGGAGATTTCTTGGAAAGCTGGGAATGGAACCACCATTTGACCCAGCTATTCACCTTCTCGGTCTTTTCCCTAAAGACCTAAAAAGAGCATACTACAGGGACACTGCTACATCGATGTTCATAGCAGCACAATTCACAATAGCAAGACTGTGGAACCAACTTAGATGCCCTTCAATAGATGAATGGATAAAAAAAAATGTGGCATTTATACACAATGGAGTATTACTCTCCATTAAAAAAAGACAAAATCATAGAATTTGCAGGGAAATGGATGGCATTAGAGCAGATTATGCTAAGTGAAGCTAGCCAATCCCTAAAAAACAAATGCCAAATGTCTTCTTTGATATAAGGAGAGTAACTAAGAACAGAGTAGGGAGGAAGGGCATGAGAAGAAGATTAACATTAAACAGGGATGAGAGGTGGGAGGGAAAGGGAGAGAGAAGGGAAATTGCATGGAAATGGAAGGAGACCCTCAGGGTTATACAAAATTGCATACAAGAGGAAGTGAGGGGAAAGGGAAAAAAAAAAAAACAAGGGGGAGAAATGAATTACAGTAGATGGGGTAGAGAGAGAAGAGGGGAGGGGAGGGGGGAGTAGAGGATAGGAAAGGCAGCAGAATACAACAGACACTAGTATGACAATATGTAAATCAGTGGATGTGTAACCGATGTGATTCTGCAATCTGTATACGGGGTAAAAATGGGAGTTCATAACCCACTTGAATCAAAATGTGAAATATGATATATCAAGAACTATGTAATGTTTTGAACAACCAACAATAAAAATTATTTTAAAAAATTAAAAAAGAGAAAAAAAATAAATAAAAGTACCATTTTCCAAATTGCTCTCAATATAGCAGAGGTTGTCAAACGTTTTCTGCAAAGAGCCAAACAATATTCTAGGCTGTGCAGACCATATAGTCTCTATTGCAACTTAGCTCTGCCACAATAGTGAAAGCTGCCATAAACAAGATGTGAAGGAAAAAATGTGGCTGTATTCCAGTAAAACTTTATTGACAAAGGTGGCAACCTGGACCTCTGACCTAGACTACAAATCTCCCTTAATCCACATCACCACCCTCTGCAAATGACAGGGCAGGAATGCCTATAAAGTGGTAGAGACTCAGAGGCTGTCTTGTCCAATGATAAACAACTTATAAATGGTAGAAGCAAGACTTCCAGCCTTGACATCACTGGGTGTTTGCATGAGCTAGAAATGCTGCTTCTCCAGAATATCTCTCCCTCCAGATAGTCACCAGATCTCTGACAAACTGGTACAGATCTGATGGGCCACAAGAGCCTCACAGAGGTCTCTTCCTCCAAAGCCTCAGGGATCCTTGTCTAAGCCCTCCCTCTCTTTTTTTTTTTTAATTTTATTTTTTATTTTTCTTTTTAGTTGTAGATGGACACAATATCTTTATTTATTTATTTTTATGTGGTTTTGAGGATCGAACCCAGTGCCTCACACATGCGAGGCAGGCGCTCTACTACTGAGTTACAGCACTATTCCTAAACCCTTTCTCTTTTTGATGACTTTCAATGGTACAAACATGTCTAAGGTACCACATTCAAACACCTTGTCAACTTCAGTTTTCATCAAAAAGGACCCACTTAGGTTTAACCTTCCACCAATCCAAAGACACGCAAAAATCTCACAACTGGTAAAGCCTTTGCAGAGCATGAGGCCTGGTTTATGTACCCCTCTCCCTGGGCCTCATGAGTGCCTTCCTGGGATGCCCTTCCTTTTTTTTTTTTTTTTTTTTTTTTTTTTGACATTCACTAAGTTGGTTGTGTAGGCTGGCCTTGAACTCCTGGACTCAAGTGATCTTCCTACCTCAGCCTTTGAAGTAGTTGGGACTAAAGATGCATGCCACCACACCCTTCTTCCTCTTTACTAGCTGTGCATTGCCCATTCTAGGTCCTTCGATTAAGGATAGATGAAACCTCAGCTTCCTGCTACATCCAAACTCCTTCCCCATTTGTATGAAGTTATGGAACTAACAGACAGAAGGATCCTCACAGGCCACTACAGCTTCAACTCACTGAAAAAAAGGAGGAAGTAGTTACATGCCCAAGATCACAGTACTTCATAAGTTAAACAAGCACCAGACCCCCAATTTGTATTCCTGTCACAATGCCAAACTGCCTGTGAAGTTCTGAATTTCCTAAAGCAGGTAGTGTTAGGGCAAGGTCTCATACAACCTGCTGTCACTCTGGATATGCTATAGACACCCAACACTCTTCCTCCTTCTCATCACTGAACTGTTTCTCATAGAGCAATGCCCAGCTTAAATGCCCTTTCACCCCAGGCTCTTTCTAGACTCTGAACATCCCCAAGACAGGAAGAGGTTCTTCTTTGTGTTCTCACAGCTTCTTTGTACTTCCCTTATCAAGTATATTATAAGTCATTGGGTAGTCAGGATAATGTAGCCTTCTGCATTTGACAGTGAACATCATTCAGGTAGATATCACATCTGTCTTGAAGATCATGGTGCCTCCTGCCCCCAACACAGAAAAACTAATCAAATGGAAGGAGAGTATTACTATTTTTCATTCACTAAAATCAGTCACTTCCTTTCTTACCCTCAAGTCTCTTCTCCAGCGGCAATGAAAGAGCCACTACTTTCTTCTAGGCCTTATCACAGTCACAGGTGGACAAAGGAGGCATGGTGTCAACTCCCACTTAAGAGAGAAGGCTCCAAAGAAAGCAGGGGTTGTGGCAGGGCACTAGTACAGAGGACCTGGAAACTGCAGAGAAAAGTGCATTGGATGGGGTCCATCTGCGCTAGGGACCCAAAGTACAGGCCAGCCTTTGCCCTACACAAAATTCAGAGTCTGCTCCGTGACCTTGGGAGTTCTGACCCAGAGACCAAATTTCCTGAGGGAAAACAAGAAAGACACCTACTTCCCTCATTAAAGAGAGGAAAGCCATAAGCTCCGAGAAAAGCCGCACAGGCCAAATGTCAATCGCAACCTCTGCCCCGACTGCGCTGCAAATCTTCGGGCCGTCTCCTTTCCCATCTACAACAGGATTAGATTAGCCTGAATGACCTCGAGGGCCTAAGCCCTGCCTCAGTCACCCGACACTGCCCGGCCGAAGACCTCAGCCCAGTGTAGCCCGGCTTGGCCACTGGCCAAAAGGTAACGTCCTGGCCTCACCTGTCGGGGGAGCGTAGGTCCGGACCGGGGGCTGGGGACTTGGCCCCGGACTCGCTGAGATGATAGGGTCACTAGGGGGCCGGTTCAGGAGGTAGTGCCCACGGCCTCGCAGCCGAAGGCAACTCCTCCACATCGCGCCGCGGGACCTGGGAGGACACGCGCAGCGAAACCAGAAAGCAGGAAACAGCGAAAAAATCCCTAAGCCGCAAGCCGCTGGGGCTGTACGGAAACCTTTCACCACGCTCCCAGAGCCCTCAGCCTCCCCTGGACGCCGCCATCTTCCATATGACACCTACGGCGCGCCGTCGCAGCCGCGCGCCCCTGGCGCACACCCCCAGTCAATCAGCATCACAAACGCACCTCGCCCCGCCCCCTTCGCGCGCGCCTCCGGAAGAAGACTACAAGTCCCAGAAGGTAGCTCGCGCACCTCGCCACGTGTTTTCTCCGCCCGCCAATGGGCGGAAGCGCCGCGTGAGCCTGCTCCCGCCCCCTCGGCGATCTCGAGCCAATCGGAAGGGGTAGTGTGTGTGTGTGCGAGGGCAAGTGGGGAGGGGGACCCAGCTCAGGACAGGGGCCCTGCTCGCAGGTCCCGGGGTCCGGGTGCCGGCCCGAGAGCTTGGTCCGCAGGCAGCGGGCGGGTGGTGCCCCCTCCTGCCCCCACCCCGCGCGTGCGCGCCCCAGCCCCTCCCTCCCCGTCACCCTCCTCAGCTCCCGCGCGGCGGCGGCGGTTCCTCTCCCCCTCCCCCCAGCCCTGGCTCCGGGGGACCCCGCGATGCCGGTCCGCACCGAGTGTCCCCCGCCGGCCGGTGCCTCGGCCGCCTCCGCGGCCTCGCTCATCCCGCCGCCGCCCATCAACACCCAGCAGCCCGGCGTGGCCACCAGCTTGCTCTACAGCGGCTCCAAGTTCCGCGGCCACCAGAAGAGCAAGGGGAACTCGTACGACGTAGAGGTGGTGCTGCAGGTGAGCGCCGGGCCGGGCCGGCCGGGGCCCGAGGGCCTCCTCGCGGCGCTCACGGGCCTTGCCCGCCCTCGGCTCCTCGAGCCCGCAGCCGCGGACCAGGCCTTCACCGCCCTCACCGCCGGGGCCTCCTGCACCCGGCGCCTCCCACCCGGGACCTGCTCCGCCGGTGTCTCACACACTCCGAGCCCCAGACCTGTGCTGCCCCTCGGACCCAGAGCCTGTGGTGACCGGCTCCTGGCAGACCCTGAACACTGTCCAGACTTGAATCCCGGGGATCCGGAAGCCCTGCCTTGTCTGGCCTTCCTCTGGCCTGGGTCCTTCCTCCCCAGACCTGTCGCCCTACACCAGTCCCTCTCAGACCCTGAGGAACTCTCCATTGGTTTCCCCAGACTTGGGGCCCAGGCCAGATTCTGCCAGACCTGAGACACGATCCCCTATTCTCAGACCCTGGTGGTTTCCTCTGTAGGAGAGGTTGATCAGCCTCCTGAGACGGGGGAGCATCCTCCCTCCTTTGGCTGAGAGCCCCGAATCCACACTGATCCCTCCCTCGTCCCTGTCTCCAAATAAACCAGGTATTCACACCCTGGGTGCCAGAGTGGAGCTCTTCACCAGTCTGTTAGGATCTTACCCCTTGGGGTCCCTGATACCACCTCCTACTTCAGTTTCTTAATGGTCCAGGCACCCAGCTGCCCTCTTCCCCCAGGCTTCTCATAACTTCCTACCCAGTTCTGTGGCCACTTCCCATCAGCTCCAAGTCTTCACTGGCCTCTACCCAGACTTTCATCTAGCTCATTACTTGGTCCAAGGGACCTTCTTTCAAAGTGTTCTTAACTTTATCTACACAGGCATAGGGCTTCCTCCGAGTCTCTGATACCAGTATACTGGGAAATCTAACTCACCCAGTTTTTATTTTGTGTCCACTCACCTCCCCCTGTTTGACCTGGATTTCTGAGTACCTGCTGCCAGTCCCAGATCAGCTTTGGAATTACAGCTTCACCTGCCCAGGGCCTTTCCTATGCCTTACCTCTCTCACCCAGATGTTGGCACACTTGACAGTTTTTCCTAGCCAAAGGAGCTTGGTGGTGATAGATACTCCCTTTTATCTCCCTTCCGCACAAACTATTCTTCCTCAGTTTTCACCCCTGCCTACTTGAGGACCCACTTTCCCCATTCCTTTACCCATTCTTTCTGATACCAAAAGCCCCTCCAAACACCTGTCCTTTGAAAACCCTCCCAGAAGCTTAGAGGCCCTATATGCTGCCTCACTGCCCTCCTTTGTGAGGGTGGACAGTACCTGTTCCTCATGCTCACTCTTTGCCCTCTTAGTCTCTCTTCTGAACAAGTAGACTTTCTACTCAAAAGACAGTAAGGGTGCCTCTTCTTTCTGCTAACTGTAGAGCATTCCTTAGTTCCTTTTTTTCTTACTGCTTTGTGAGAGTAAATAGTTTTTCTTCTGGCTTTGGCTGAGAAAGCTGCATCCTCTTGTTAATTGTGTCTTTGATCTGTAAATTTAAAAGTTCTATCATGAGCTGTGATATTTATTGTAATTAAAAAGCTACTGTAGCTGGGATATTTTAGTCTCATAACTCTATGCCTAATGTGATTCCCTTTTTTTTGCTTAAAATGTGAGACTTTATGAAGGTCACACTGTTTTTGTTTTTTCCTGGTGTTGTTTGTTTTGTTTTAAATTCAGCTAATCATAAAATTCTGAAATGAGATCCCTGGGTCATGTTTGGACAGTCCCAAGTTTGTGCCCATTTGATGTTTTCCAGTGTGGTAGTCTACCGACAGGGTAGCTAGGTGTCTAAAGGAGTCTGCTTTGGTTACTTCAGTGACTATTCCTTTCTGTGATTATTGTGTTATTTCTGAACTCTCGTCAGGTGCCAGTCTCCTTGTGAACCAATAAAAGCCGTGATTGAGTGATTGGTAGGTCTCAGGCCTCCCAGACCATCTGACTGATGGTTGGAAGACACTTAAGTAGGATGTCTGATGGTGGGGGCAGTGGCCATGCCAAGGAATGCCACCCTACATCTGGATTGGTGAGCTGCTTATTCACATCATTGCGACTTGTTAGTGGCATGTGAATTGCCCCACCATCTGGTTTTTCAGCCAGGACAAGTTTCTTAGACTTAGCCTTCTCAGAATATTTCTCCTGTCTTTCATAAGCCTCTTTCTTTTTCTTTTCAAGCACCTTTATTCACATATAATTCACATACTATATAATTCACCTATTAAAGTATACATTTCAGTAATTTTTAATATATTCAGAGTTGTGCAGCCATCACCACTACCAAATTTTAGAACATTTTTATCATCCCCCAAAGAAACCTTCATACCTTTCGCTACCATAGGCAACTGCTAACTTTTTAAAATATATTTGCCTGTTCTGGCTATTTCATATAACTAGAAACAATATTTATCTTCTTGTGACTGGCTTATTTAACTTTGCATGATATTTTCAAGATTCATGAAATTCATCCATATTTTAGAACGTGTCAACATTCATTCCTTTTTATTGTTCCAGTGTTCATTGTATGGATGTAACAACCTTTTGTTTATCCGTTGATAGACATTGATGTACATCAGTTGGTAAACATTTGGGTTGTTCATACTTTTTGGCTATAACAAATAATGCTGCTATGAACATCTGTGTACAAATTTGTTCATTTATGGTTGTTTTTGAGATGGGGTTTCACTGTATTGTCCAGGATAACTTTGAACTCGTGTACTTAAGTGATCCTCCTGCCTCAGCCTCCTAAGAGCTAGAATGTAGACTTAGCACTGTGCTCAGCTCATGTACAGATTTTTATGTGGACATGCTTTTACTTCTTTTGGGTGGGTAGACAGACCTAAGAGTGAAACTGCTGGGTCATATAGTAACTCTATATGTAACATTTTGATGAACTACCAGTCATTTCTAAAGTGGCTGTCATTTTACATTTCCACCAGTGACATATGAGGATTCTAAATTTGCACATCCTCTCCAACACTTGCTATTGTTCATCTTTTTGACTGTCATCATCCTGATGAGTGTGAAATAGTAGCTCAGTGTGGTCTGTGTTTGAATTTCTCTGGTGGCTGGTGGTGATGAGTATCTTTTGTGTGCTTTTTGGAGCATTTTCTATTGGGATATTCCAGTATAGTGTTCCTCAAACCTTTATGGGGTTCTGACTGGATCTTTTTTACCCTTACTGCGACTACTTTTTCCCTCTCCTACCATTCTAGAAGCCACCAGTAGAGTGAAGCCTGGGTCCCTTTAAAAGGAATATTAAAAAGAGCAGCTGTTGGACACAGCTGTGCTGTGAGACTTCCTTGCTGAACATTTGCCTTGTTATCTTTCTCATTGAGATTCTGCCCCCTCATTTGGTGAAAACTGTATGTGTTGTGGGGTTATTTTGAGTTCATCAACCATCATCAAGATCAATTTGGACAGAATAGGAGAGACACATGGTTGAACGGAGGCCAAACAGAAATTCTGATTCTTGAGCATGTGATAATCCATGCAAATACAAGCCAATTTACAGTTCAATTTTAAATCTTATTAGCAAGTATCCCTGCCACCTGATACCCTTTCCAGCAGCTGTGAAACCCCAAACTATACTGAATTCAATGAGAATTGCATACATGAAATTTAAGGCCTCAGGTTAGAACTTTTAATAAAAGTTCTTTGCTGAACCATATTAGTGTGAATCAGCTGTTTTCCATAATGTCCAATGCCAAGGTCAGCAGATGAGGACACATAAAATGCTTTGGCAGTTTTCACATGGAATACCTTTGTCACCAGCACCAAACTGTGAAGGCACTTTAGCTTTATTGAAGCTCAATTGCTTCGGTGCTGACATCATCTGGCTGACCAAGATCATTACAGTTTTTAAGGACTGCCTTAGTATTTCATTTATGGTATAATCGACCAATATCTGATAAATGCCACAAAACTTTGCAAGTTTCTTGAAATGAGCCTTAATTTAAAATGAAAGTCTTATTGTGCTACAGGTACCACTAAACCTTGTTTTGCTTTGATTCAAAGGTTATTAGGCAGAGTTCCAGAGTTCGTGACAATTGGATTCATTTTAAGTCACAAACTCACACTCTGCCTGTTTAGGGTGAGTCTGTATAGATTTGGATAAATGTACTAGTTAGTATGCTTTCAGCCATGAGTAACCATATTTTGCATTTCAAAATAGTTTACAGAACAAATGAACCTATTATCTCACATTGTAAGGCGTTTAGAGGCGACGTGGTCCCAGGATAGTTAATTAAGGGGCCAAAATTCTTCCATCTTACTGGGCTGTCATCCCTAGCATTGTGTGGCCTGTTTCTCCTCCTGATCTCTTCTTAATGGCTGTTCTAAGATTGGACTCTGCATACAGATACTACCACCACCAGGGGAATGAAAAAGGCCATTTCTTCCTCATGTGCCTCTTTGAAAGCCAGTGCTCTTTTGTGGGTGCACCCAGGAGATTTTTCACACCCATCTGATTGGCCACAACTGAGTCACTCACCCCTAAACCAATGACTTGTAAGGAGAATGGGGGCTTGTGCTTATCCTAGATCCATCAGGGTTGACCAGATCTTTTTTTTGTGGGGGTAGGGTATGGAGGATTGACCTCAGGGGCACTCGACCACTGAGCCACATCCCTGGTCCTATTTTTTGTATTTTATTTAGAGACAGGGTCTCACTAAGTTTTTTTAGCACTTCACTTTATGCTGAGGCTGACTTTGATCCTCCTGTCTCAGCCTCCTAAACTGCTGGGATTATAGGTGGTGCACTACTGCACCCGGCAGTTGACCAGGTCTTTCAGGATAGGGTAGCTGCCAGAACAAAATCTAAACCCTGCCTGCCTGAAAAAAGAGGAAATTGGTTGTAGGCACTCGGCAGAGTCTCAGCAACCAAAATAAGTGGTGGCTACTAAACCTCAAAATTTACTATGTCTGTTATTCCTGTTTATTTTCGGCTCATGACTCTTCTCATTAAGAAACTCAAGCATCTGTATGTGAATAGACAGGGCAGAAATTTACAGTATAATCGGAATTTTGATTGGTATTTTGGTTCAAAACTAAAATTATACCATGTAAGTCTTCATAAGGTTCTGTTCCTGAATATTATTCTCATTTCATAAAGAAATAGTGCAGCATGGTATTTTGGATAAATACCAGGGCAGGAGTACATTTTTTAGACTAGTGATTGAGTAGCAAGGAAATAAAGGGAAACTAGTTAGACATTAGAAAGTCAGACCCAGGTTTAGGGATGATACCCATGTGTACAGGTAAATAGACCTGGTGCTCAATAACACACAGTGTAGATGAACTTGTGTTGGAGACTGCAGAAAATGAGATTTGAGAAGTGGGCTCACTGTTCCCAAAAGGCACTTCAGTCCCAAGATTCCAGCTTAAGGAAGTTGAGAGGGCCCTGAGATCAGTTTGCATTGTCAGAACAGGCACATGTGTAGTGGTGCAGTCCCAAAGGCTGGTAGAACCTTTGGCTACACTGTCCTTGCACTGACCACCAGGTCTACCTCTCTATCCTAGCCTCACAGGGTTTCCAAAGTACTCTCCCAGCATTTCAGGGTGTATTCATCTGTGTATATAATGGTCTGTGTGTCCTTTTCTTTTCAGCACGTGGACACAGGGAACTCTTATCTTTGTGGATATCTGAAGATTAAAGGCCTTACTGAGGTAAGCACTTGCTCACTTGAGCTAGAACTGGGAAGTGGGTGGCATGCTCAGCAGTCCTGCAGGGTTGAGGGCGGGCAATCTCAACTCCATTTCTAAGCATTGTTATCATACAGGGAACATACAGTGCAGTTCTGATGTGTCCTGCAGAGAAGTACACACATCCACAAATGTTTCCCCCTTTGGTGGTAAGGATAGAAACTAGGACCTGAGGTGTGCTAAGCACACATGCTCTACTGTAGTTCTGCCCCTCATAAATCATTTAAAGAAAAGTTTGTAAATATGTCACAGTTTGATCAAAACTATTCATTTTGTTATATTTTTTAAGTAAAAATGTGTGTATATATATGTGTGTTTAAGTATATACATACACATAAATATATACATGGTGAGAATATAGGTACTATAAGTACCATAAGTTTAGTAGTCTCTGAGGTAAGCATCAATCATTCAAAAACTGAACTTTATTGGAACATTGAAAAGTGGCTGTCCCATCTTCAACCTGATAGGTAAAAGTAGAGTGTTTTCCTTCCTTAGATCTAAGTTTTCAAACTTCAGAATTCCTGGTATTTAGAAGGTAAGAAAGAGCATCCCTTCTTTTCCATTAGTGGGTAAACAGGAAGAGGAAGGAAGGACTGACTGACCACTGAGCTCTGCTGTGAGTGCCTGGATGTGACCTTTCTGCAATGTCCTGTGGCCTGTTATCACTTCTTATAGTTTTGATGACCCAGCAGTATTGGGCTGTGTCCCTTTCTCCCTTAATTTCAGTTTCCTCATTTGAAAAGTAAGGATCAAAAATCTGCTCTACGTTTTTAGTGAACTTTCTAACAGGAGGAAGCCATGTTAGAGTAAGTGGCAG